GTTTAGTCCAGGGAGAAAGAACTGACTGAAATGTTAACACAAATAATAGAAGATGAGATGCCCAGTTTATTTGCCTCAGCCAAGGTAAATTTTCTTGTTTATATTTTGCTTCTGTTAAAGGTAGCACACGTTAGAAGGCCACAGGCTTGACTGTCCCTTGTCACTTCATGGGTTTGAAATGCAAAGAATCCAGAGTTGGTGTAATAGGAGTAGAGCTGCGTAAGTGAATAAACACTTTGGTATGTCCTAAAGACATGGCCTCTCTCAGAGGAGCCCTCGCCACACAGGAGGCATTCCAGCAGCTGTCTCTTGATGTGCTTCTGAGTCACATCACGACTAAGGTGGAATAAACAAGCACATGTGAATGAGTAAGGAGCTTGAGGAAAATAATCCTAAAACTCCCACCTCCTTCATTAAACTTTTAAATTTAAACTTGACTAAACTCCTTCATTCACCATTAAACTGACTAATTTCCAATAGCAAAGCAAAAAATAATTGCTCCTCAGAAATCACCACGTGGATATTTTATATAATTGGATTCCCAGTCTGTCACCTTCCATTGTGGATTCTTTTTCTCAGTATGAAATACTTCACATCACCTGCAGCTCATCCTGATCTGCTGGAAAATCTCTTCCTTCATCCTTGAAAGACAGAAGCGATCAGAGAAACAAAGAAGGTAAGAAAAAGAATGGGTGGCCCAATCCACTCCACTCCCTGATAGCTTCACCCCTACTCAGAACATGGAGCTCAGCAGACTCTACCTACAGTATCCCATTACTGCAACCTTGTGTAGCTTGGCATCTCCTTGATCTCTTCAGCTGCAACTCCCATTATGCCTGACCAAAATCTATTCTCAAGGATAAAGTCTATGTTATTAAAAGGGGGAAAAACAGTTTAAATTAGCTATAATGTTTTTAGAGGAATGCAGCCCAGAGTCACGTTGTTTTGAATTGGACAGCCTTATAATTCTTAAAAATAAATGAGTAAATAAGTAAGCAAGCAAGCAGACCGTCCTAAGCTGGTTGAAACTAATAATTCAAGAAAACTTCTCTGGAAAAGAGAAAGTCAAAAGAACCAGGTTTTGGGTGGTGCTGAATTCAAACATTGCTTTAACCAGTGGGTTCTTTTAATCGTGGTTGCTTGAACAAGCCACAATGGCTAGATTCACAGAACACACTATACTATAAAACTTGAGTTAGTAATCACAATATCTGGATTCACTAGGGACGTTAAGCTATAAGGGGATTTGCTTGGCTTTGTCTTAGTAACCAGCTCATATGACAAGTTGTACTTCTCAGGTTCCTTCATCTGTACCACATTTGAACAATTTGATTTTCTTTGCAATGTGTTGCTTGTGCCTTCTTGTAGCCCCACTGCCTCTTTATTTCATACCTGGAGTGGGGGAGGGAAACTGGGAAGATGACTTGAGATTGGGCAGAACACAGGGATATCCTGAAGAGGGACTGAACTAATGCCGGTTTGTTTAAATTAAATCCATGATTAAATATGTCCCAGTTCTGAAGCAGTCCTTGCATTTCAATTAATGAGAAGACAAGCCTGCAAATTTGAAATGGTGTTTAGACATTTCAGTTACTGTGCAGCAAATGATGCTGTACTATTTATGATTATGTGGCAAGAAGGGGTTATGTAACACAAAAGTATGTGTCCTATCCCAGATTATGGCTAATATAAGACAGAACATCAAGTTCAGTTTGTGGCTCTTCAGCTTAATGAGGAATCACTTCAGGAGCATAGATTTCTTACGTGTGTAAACACTTCCTAGCAGGGTGTTCTTTCTATGTCTGTTTTTAAAGTCACTATAGCCCTAGCAGGGTGATTGGATTGGAAGAGTTCTGATAGGCAATGCTAGCATGGATGATTGATTCAAAGTATCTGCAACTCCTAATCAGATAATATGCAGAATTTTGATAGCTGTATATAGAATTCCATTAAAGAGTAATTTTTGTGAGATGGGCAGCCATATAAATTTGATATGTAAATAAAACTAATGCCAAATCAAAAACTTCATTTTTTTCCACACTGCAGATTTCTTAGCTGCCTATTTCCTTCCTTCCTTCCTTCCTTCCTTTCTTCCTTCCTTCCCTCCCTCCCTCCCTCCCTTTCTTTCTTGGTTTTTGAAGCACCAAATGGACCATAAGTTTAGGTACTGTAATCTATTTAAATTCTTTATTCAGGATTTTTTTTGTAGGCTGTTTCTGAAATATGGGACTAAAAGAGATGAAAGAGAGCCTGATGGGTTTCGGAGAACTTAATTTTTAATAGGGGTGTGTCATTATTTTGCATTCTTAAACTGAAATAACTTCCGATAAAAACAGTGTGGAGCTATTTTTTCACAAGAAATCAGACCACACTTCAACAACCACCAGCAGCCAATCAAACAGTCTAAAACCAAACTATGACTCAGAAGTATCCAAACAAACAACAACAAATTTACATCACACAGATGGTACTTAAAACCGTGCCTCAGTAACAACAGCCATCCAATCAAACAGTCCGAAATCAGACCGTAACTGAGAAATAGCCGAACAAACAGCATCCACGCTGATTTGCATCAGATAAAAAGGTATTTAAAGGCCAGTGTTCTGACAGACAAGCACAAATCAAAGCGCACTGACAATGTCTCCCCAAATGGTGATGAAACGTTTGCAACCAAATTGCCAAGCTTGGAGCTCAAACCAACAGCCCAACTGCCTACCCGAGCTACTAATATTCAAACACATTTCAGTGTGGAGCTATTACAATAATTTAACTTTTTAAAAATATATTTCTCTTTTGATTATTTATTATTAAATTATACACTAATAATATGTCCTTTGATAAAGTATATATTATGAAATGAAATGAGTATATCCAGAGGAGTGATGAGGTAGGAGTAGAAAAATAGAGAAGTCTAACTTCTAATCATTTGTCCGCAAGATGAATTTTAAAAACTTTTCCTTAACTTTTATAATAAATTCAATTTTATCATGAGAGGGTCATCTTAAATTGGTCAAATATATAATAATAAAGACTGAACTATTTTTATCTGTTTAAATATTTGACTGCTATTTCCAATTAAAAATCTTGGACGGAATTACAGGAGTTTACAATTGTAATTAAATAAACTGTAGTTAAAACAAGTATAAAACCACCCATTAAATTAATCATGGAGGACAAAAGTGGCAATATTATTTATAAACGTATAAATTTAATGTTTTAATTTTTTATTTAAAGTACAAGTATTTATTTTTCTATTTTTTCTGAATTTTAAAAAATGATAGCATGCTGTAAACAAAATGTATTAATATCTTTTCTTTTTTAAAATATAAATTGTATTTGGGTTTTCCCAAAAACATAATACAAATAAAACATCTTTTTTTGAGAATAGCATGATCCCGGGTTACCATTTCTTCATACAGACACAAACTCAATTTCATATTCATCTTTGTGTTCTATTCCATATCTTATTACTATTTTAACATTTTCTCCATAATTTTTCCCCTCTCTTGGTTTTCTCAACTTTATTTTTAATTATCTCATATCTAAATTCAATTATATATCTTTTTCTAAGTTTCAATGTCTTTCCAATCATTATATTTATACTTTTGTCTGTCCTGTTTCAATTTCATATTATCTTTTCTCATTAAACAAATTTTCCCCTGTAGTTACTATTGGAGTATGACACCTTTATATCTTTTAATTTTATCCATTCAACTCTTATTTAAACTTCAATTTATGCCTTTAAAATTATAACATGCAATATAGTACATAACTTCCAATTGAATTCTGCTTGGTACATTCTTAAAATATACACTATGTTCATATATATATATATATATACACGTTATTCAGCTTTGTCCGGGTATTTTCTAAAAATTGAAATATGAAGCCAAAAGAACCTCTTCCTTCTTGTGCATGTTCTTTCTGTTTTTGAAGTTCCATTTTCAGTTCTTCTAAAAGTGATGCCATTTTAAACACTTTTAAACCCGATTGATTTTAGTCATTTAAATCCAATAGCCAAAAATTCAAAAATCACCAAGTAATCCAAATAATCCAAAGCTGTTTCTTCTTGCTTCTTTTTTCCACTTTCTCTTCCTGGGGTTCTATTATTTTGTTACAAAGTTTCAATTAAAATGTATCTTTTAGGAATCTTGTTAAGGTTTCACTCTAAGTTCCTTTTAGTTCCAGGCAATCTCCTCCATTTTTCCAGATCCCGCCCTTTTATTCTTTCCTTTTCTCTCCTTTCCTGCTTTTAAAGGTTTTTGAGTATCCAAACGTCTTTGTTATTGCTTTGACATTTTATTTTCAGCTTAAATGCCTTTTGATGTCAAAGTGGATTTTTGTCAATTTCTTACTTAAATCTCTTAGCTGTCAGTATAAGGAAGGGAAGAGCGCCATTGCAGATGCCACTGCTTCTGAGAAGAATCCACTCTAGCAACCATACTAAGAATCTTCTGATTTAAAAAAAAAATGTGGTACAACATGGTACAAACATTTATGGACTAGAGCCATTTATGGACAGATCATCAAACGATTTTTCATTATCTTCAGTCTGTCAGTCTCTTAGCTTTAAAATGGTGCTATCAGTATGTCTCATACAAACAGAATAATGTGTGGCCATCACGCAGGAATTTGAAGAAAAAAAGTTTGCTTGTTAAAATAAGTCATCCCTATTTGTGGCTCACTTTTTGAATTTTGATATATTTTTTCAGAGTTTCTGTCTTCTAATATAGATAGCATCTACCACACCAGCAAGATGAGAACTGACATAGTTTGGGAAACTTTTATGCTTTCTTCCAAAAGACAGCATAGTTCAATCCTGTGCCAGATGCGGTTTTAGATCCATTATAGTTAGATACTTCCTTTCTTCCCTCTGTGCAGACAGATATGGATAATTAAGTCATAATAAACTTAGAGCAATGTGGGAGTAGGCTAGATGCTACTCAAGAGGTGATCTGAACACTCATACAACCTCCTGATCTGAAGTAAAGGACCATCATTAGTACCATAGTTATATACGGATTGTGGGCTATTTAGCATCTTGGTCAGTACCTATCAAAAGGTGGCTCAAAGACCTGTAGGAGTCCCAACCAAACCCTCTCAGAGGTCTGCCAATTCAAAATTATTTGCCAGCCTATGTTGAAAAATAAAACAATATAAAAATCCCATCAAATATCTATGAGAAACATTAGTGGCAGTGACTCTATCAATTTTAATTTTCAATAGGATAAATATTGATATATATAACCCATATAAACAAAAGCACTTTTAAGGTTCTCCATAACTTTTAAAGGTAGGAAGGGGTACTGAGACCAAAAAAATGTAACACTGATGTGGGTCACAGTTATCAACAGCCTGAATAAGCAGATACAGCAAACGACTTGCTTTCGCTCAGTAATGTCTAGGGTGGAGTGACTAATAGGCCACTACAGAGCCCTTTTCTTTATAAAGCTAACACTGCTTACACTACAGTTTTTCTCTTTCCATTGTTATTATTTATTGAGAGAGAATTTTGGATCCATTACAACAATTGGGAGACAACTGCAGATTCAGTTGTTGGAAAATAGTCACTGGTCTGGATACTCCTTCAATAAATAAAGTATTTATATAGGTATTCAACTTACCTGTTGGATTCAGTATTAAGCTTTTATCCTCAGTAGATGTTGAATGTTTAACTTCACATCGTATTGTATTCCCAAAGGCCAGTGTTTGGGCATCTAAGTGTACTTTACTAACAAAATAACATAAGTGATCTTCTCCAATCTCAATATTCCTGGGATTGATATTTTCAGAAATTTGTCTCCAGCCTTGGTACCATCTGACTTGTATATCAGGAGGTGCAAATTGTGATATAGAAATTTCAAAAATATTCTGATGATCTGGGGTCGCCTTTATTTCAGACAAAACGGGCCGTTTGACTAAATGAGAAGGAAAAAAATTGAGCAGAAATGACAATGTAAATAATGTGTTTCCAGACCTTGACTTATTATAAATAATGCAAGAACAATTTTTAATTCAAGAAAACACTGTAAGAATTGATCCTCTGAAGTCTTGCATAGTGGAACAATAGTATGAGACCACTGCATTAAGGCCAACTGCACAATTTTTACCAACTACAAGTTGAAGAGGCTTTCTGCACCCTTTGCAACAAAACCCAATGAATGGAAATCATATCTGCAACCTTCTCTATGACCGACCATTTAAGCTGTACATAACAATCTTTTTTGTTGTTGTTTTTGCTGATTTCTCTATTTTTATTTTACTGAAAACATTAAAATACAAAGTCCCCCAAAAGAAAAAAAAATACAAAAGCAAAATAAAGCCAAACAAGACTACACCCAAAAAAAGTTCATCAAGACAAAACAAACATGTTGTGGTTTATTCTACAGTCTTTCCAGCATTTGGTTGAAATTCAGTTAACAGCATTACATATGATAGCATAGGCATCTGCAGTGGAAGAAGAATGTGTGTGTGTTGTGGTGTGCAATTCAAGTATGAAAGGACAGGGGATGTGTTGTGTCATCATGTTTCATCATTTGGGTGCCATTGTGATTGGAATGGATGGAATGGATGATTGGAAATGGATGTCTATGCATCTTATTGGTAAGTCAAATAATCTTATCCCATATTTTCCCACATGTGATAAAAAAAGCCAGGGGTGTCCAGATGGCATGGTCAAAGAAGAAACTGAGATGAATTCAGAGTAATGTTGAGCACCTCTTCTCCCAGATATGTCACATCTGGGCTGTGGCTTACTTCCTGATACCCACAGCACAAAAGACAAAACAAGACAGACAACAGTGCTACAGACAGGGAGATTTTCTTTGAAGTAACACTGCACGTGTAATTTATACGAAATGAGGCTGTGCCACACTCCTCACCTGTTAAAATTCTATTACTTTCAATAAAGCCCAAAAAAGATAAACAGAACCCAACTTCATCAATTAACATCAGAAGATAACTAAATTTAAAAAAAATTGGTACGCACCTGGAAGTTTTAGATACACTTCTCTTGTAATAGGTTTTGCCAAACTTGCATGACTCACTCTGAAACAAATGGTCTTATCACAAACTGAAGCAGTAGCTTTTAGTTCAAACACGGAAGTTAATTTGTAACAACCATTACAGGCCATATCTAAATCCTCTGTGACCACACCGTTCCTTAGTGAATTATCTCCCAAGAACCACTGAGTACAAATGTTTTTAGGATTGAAATCTGTGACTTCACAAGTTAAATTTACACTTTCTCCATATTCTGCATCACTTGGTTCAATAACAATATTTGAAAGTTTGGGAAAATCTATAAAAGTGACAAGACAGAGAAGTCAACATTAGACAAGGAATCATTATTAAATACAAAGAATACCCTACTATACCAAGCATCAAATGAGATAAGAATAATTTTTAACATTATATTGTTACCACAAGAAAGAAGGAATCATTGTTCAATGAGAACTTGTGCTATTTTACTATTTCACATAGAACAGTACTCATACATGAAATCAACTCTCAATTGATTTAGGTACATATCAATTATTTCTGTTTCCCTGCTTCTTGTGTACATATGTTGGTCATGCAGTAAGATATCAGTGCTTCTCACTATTTGGTTTGTTTCCACCCATTAATAGATGGCATATTATTGTATACTGATATGAACTTAGAAGTAAAATGTGTGTAACAATACCATGCAGTTTATCTATTTGTCTGTCTGTCTGTCTATCGCTGTGGTGATGCAGCGGTTAGGCTACTTCTGCTGACTGCTGACTGCCAGTAGTTTAGCAGTTCAAAT